CCCCCCCCCCCCCCCGCGACCCCCCCCCCCCCCCCCCCCCCCGTGTCCCCAGGGTGTGACAGTGCTGGCGTGGGGCAAGTGTCATCATCTGCACCTGTCCTCCCCCCAAATAAACCCCTGTGTGGGCCCACAGCGTGTCCTGTTTCTTGAGGGGGGGGCTGTCGTGTCCCCCCACCACGTCCTGCTGCTGGGGACAGCAGGGATATCACCAGGGGGTGGCAGAGGACAGTGCCAGGGCTTGGGGACACCACACTCCTGTCCCACCACTGAGCTCGAGGGCCACTGTGATGTGACGCCAGCACCTATGTCACCGTTACCCTGTCCGTCCCCCCGCCACAGCCGAACACTGCAGGGTGTCCCTGTCCCCACTCCAGTGACACCGCTGTCCCCACGGCACTGGCCAAGCTCACTGCAGCAGTGACACCACCAGGGCTTTATTCGGTTCCGGGTCACACAAAATGGTGGCATTTGGGGACAAGAGTGGCTGGAGCTGAGCCGGGGCCGCAGTTCGGTGATGGTGGCAGCTGGCCACGAGGCCACCGGTGATGACATCTCCAGAGCGCAGAGGTCCTGGGGGGGCCAGGCGGGCGGTCTCTGTGCCAAAGCCACCATTTGGTGCCACCGTGGCTACACCAGTCATGATGGCACCCCGGCGTGGAGGTCTTTGGGGACAGCATGGGGTGCCACAGCCACCATGACCGCACCCTCGGGAAGACACTGAGGTGACAATGCCGGCGGCGACCACCCTGCTGCAGAGGACACGGTGCTGGTGACGCCATGAGGACGTTGGTAATGCCGCATGGATGCCGGTGATGCCATGAGGATGCCAGTGACGCCACGATGATGCCAGTGATGCCATGAGGATTTTGGTGACACCACAAGGATGCCAGTGATGCCACGATGATGCCAGTGATGCCATGAGGATTTTGGTGACACCACAAGGATGCCAGTGACGCCATGAGGATGTTGGTGATGTCACGAGGACACTGCTGCTGCTGGCAACTGCCTGCAGACACCAGGCAGATGATGTCAGCCAGCGACGCTGCTGCTGGTACTGACCGCCGTGCCAGATCCTGGTGGCACTGGCTGTTCTGTCAAGCCACCAGTCCCGGTCAGAGTGCCGGCAGCTCCCCGCGGATCTCGGGCAGGAGGCGGCAGGCGGTGACGATATCGACGGTGGCGGCCACGGCACGCAGGTCGCGGCGAGCCAGGCGCAGGCAGTGAGCAGCGGCGGCGGCGGTTGCCTGCGCCCGACCCAGGGCTCCCCCCAGTCCCCCCAGGTGCCGGGCGGCAGCGCCGTAGCTTTGCCGTAAGGCGCTGCCCACCGCCCCCCGCAACCGCCCCGAACCTTCCCACAGCCGCTGCTGCAGCAGCGAGGGGCCCCCCTGGCCGCCCCCCCAAATCGCCGCCGGCTCCTCTGCCGTCACCGGAGGGAGCTTCGGTCTCTGCCCCCCCCCTTCTTCTTCCTCCTTCTCTTCTTCCTCCTCTTCTTCGGTCTCGGAGGCTTCACCCGGCACCTTCAGCCCGGCCCCGGGGACACCCCCGGCCGCCCCCGCCAGCAGCTCCGGCTCCGAGTCACTTTCGGAGGCTTCGCCCGGCACCACCCTGAGGGGGCGGGGGGCGGCCATGGCCTGGGGGAGGACACACGGGGAGGGAAGGGGGGAGTCAGGGCGGCAGCCCCCCCCCGCCAGCGACCCCAACCGGGGGGGGCGCGGGGCTCCGGCCTTGGCCCCGGGGTCCTGCAGAGTGTCTGCCCCCCCGCTCTGTGCTCAGACCCCCCACCCGGCCCCCGACCCGCACCGGGGCGCCCCGAATCCCCCTCC